GCTTCAATCAGCAATATTTCCCAAAGCTGGCGAACGTCCTGTTCATCACGGAACCCGAAGCGGCAGCAATATACACGGCACGGTATCTGAAGGACGAGATCCATGAAATATTCCTCAAGGTAAGTTTCCCAAATAGAGCGAGATGCTCAGCCCCCACCCCCACGCATAGCTGACGATTTCCCTACAGCCCAATTCTTGCTTTATCCTCTGCGACGCTGGTGGTGGCACGGTCGTAAGTCTTATACAGGGGCCATGGCTTCCTCTCTTTTGCACATTCTAACTTTTGCATTTCTCATCGTAGGATGTCGTGTCGTACAAAGTCAAACAGGTGGAACCGTCACTGGTACTGGAGAGAATTGGAGTTCCAACGGGTAATTAAGTGTCCCCCTTCCCCTTGAATCTGTATACCGGCCGTAGAGATGCTGCTAGCACTGAACGAAAAAAAAAACCGGGCTAACATCTGCCCAACTCAAAAAGGCGACAAGTGCGGCGCCATCTACATTGACATCGCGTTCAAGGAATGGCTGAGGCAACTGCTGGGCAACAAATACTACGAGAAACTCGACCAGAACCAGGATCTTCAGCGGATCACGTCGCACACCTGTGAAAGCAAGGCCATGCGCCAGCTGATGAAGTCGTTTGACGTGCTGAAGAAGCAGTTCCACAAGAACCACAGGGACATGGCGTTGGACCTGCCTCCGCCGCTCCACAACTTGACCCTGGACAACCGGGTGGACTGTGGCGAGATCAAGATCACGAAGTGAGCCCTCAGCTGCGTCCAAGTCGGTGGGATCTTCACCTTCTTACTGACCACCTCCTTTTTCCGTAGCGCCACAATGACGGGATTCTTCAACTTTTGTGTGGGCAAAATCATGGATTTGCTGCTGGGGCATATTCGTCAGATCGACAATCTAGGCAAGCAAGTCAAGGTGAGTGACCAACACACCAGCTCTATTGTCCCCTGCGCTAGACGAAGCATGAGCATCCAATATGGGAACAGGGGGAATGCTAACGGGATTGGCTTTACAGAACATCTTTCTGGTCGGGGGCTTCGGAGAGTCGCCGTACCTGCAGGAAGAGATCGAATTTTCTCTGCGCCTGAGGCGGATCAAACTCAGGAGGCCCGACACCTCGTGGACCGCGGTGGTCCGGGGCGCGGTCCTGCACGGCATCGAGAAGGACACGATCTCGAACCTGTCGGTCGCGACGCCGTGCCCGCGGCACTTCGGCATCAGCGTCAGTGAGCCGTTCTCCAAGATCCACCACGACGAGAAGGACGTCACCGTGAACTCGATCACGAAGTCGCCGATCGTCGAGGGCCGGCTCCTCTGGATGCTGGGCAAGGGGGACCTGGTCCTCTCCGACTCGCCGACCACGGTGTCCCAGATGATCAGCCTCTCGTTCCGCGACACCGACAAGACGAAGCGGCAGCTCGCCATCTACTCCTACGCCGGCGACGACGGCGACGACGACGACCGGCCCCACACGATCAAAAATTCTTTGGACGGTAAGCAAACCACCAAGCTCCCCCTTGGCCATGTCTTCTTCAGCGTATTTTTGGAATCGAGTAAGAATGCTGAACGCTCTTTGATTCTCCTCCAGACCTTGTCGAGTTCGACGTTCTCGAATACGACCTGGCCAGCCTCGTCCGGAAACGCCTCGAAAAGGCCAAGGGCCGGAACGGCACATTCTACGTCGCGAGGCTGAAGCTCACCTTGGCCCTGTCGGCGGATCGCCTGAGCGCGGTCCTCTCGTGTGACGGACAAGAGCTGGCGACGAGTGATAAGCCGTTGTAGCAAGCAGGGTGGTCAATTGAGGAGAGTGCCGGAGAGACAGAGAGAAGGATAGGGGTTCTGTCCTCATATCCTTTTGAACCCCCGACAATTCACCATTGCGTCATGATCTTCCACGGAGGGAATGAGAAGGTCTGGGTTTCTCCGAGAGTCTGGAGTCGAGAGGTCTTGCTCTAATTCGCTTGACTTGACAGCTCGAAACAAGTGATGGTGAAGCTTAGTGGACCGTTGGTTCTTCGATCTACTCATGATCTTGTTGACAGACTGTGTCTCTTGTGGAGAGATATTCCACCTATTATTTCGCCTCTTTCTCACGAACAATACAGCCTATTCTACCGTCGCTCGCAGTTATTTGTTGGACACAGTCTTGACTGGTTCTCGCATCAAACATGGGTTCCGAAACAGCCCTGTGGGCACGCGAAGAGGTGAACAAGATGGCGATGTGATAAGAACCGGTGCAGAAAACATATTCGGCTGTGACGCTTGGAGCGGTTGTGCTTAGACACAGCTATGTGACTACGTCGCGTTACGATTTTCGACAGGAAATCGACTCGAGGCTATGTATATTTGCGTGATGACTGATGGCCAGGTGCACGACATTGGCGTATCCTTCTACCTACATTGAATGACAACGATGCTCAATCACCTATTATGCGGATTTGGACCTTCGGTTGCAGCTTGTTCCCCTACTAATGCCCCTTTGGAAAGGCACTCGGCTCACAATTTTTGCACATCCTGTGGTAGCAGTCTGGACACGCGACGTGTAGAGCCCGGATTAGCTTTAAGTTGCATTGGCAGCATTTCCATGCATTAATTGGGGCATGGTTCGAACTCCCCATGGAACGGGTGGACGCTTGTCTAAGCGCAGTCCTATTGCGAGATGGCCGACTATCCACATGTGCGAGCCCTTCTACTACCCATTTGATGCTATCGTTTCGGGTTTGAATCGTCGCTGTGTTTAGATCGAACTTGTTTTGATGTGCTTCCTTCGTCGGCTTGGTCGCTTGTGTCGTTGCACCTGGGGAAGAAGAGGGTCTTTTCCGACGAGAAGCGTCGTTGTTCTCAAGCGCTGCGAACCCAACAATCCCAGTTCTTGATCGGAAGTCGATGGATGTTGAGGAGCCTTCCTGTTGTAAGCCAAAGCCTTGCTCTCCATACAGCCTTTTTGATCTCCCAGCCCTTTCATTGTGACTGTTCTGGGCTTCCTTGGCTGCAGCTTTTCCCGAACTCAACAAGCCTGATGGACTCTTCTGCTCTCCTGATCCTTCGTTTGCCCCGGAAGCGTCGGTTTGTCCTTTATTCGGATCAAAAGTGATCGCAAGCGGTATCGATAACTCCAATGGCGCCACCCGCATTTGTCTTCCAGTCGACTTTTCAATGGCGCGTTGAATTTCTCGAGCAGGTGCGATATATGTTATATTGGAACCTGGGTGGCCGGCCACAATGTGGCCATACCAATTCCCATCAGCATCCAGTATCCACATGCCACAGCTGCCGAGAAACATAGGCTTCTCAAGCATAACGCAGTATAGTGACAGAAGCTCCCGGCTGCCTTTAAGGCCAATGAGGGTGTGATTTGCTTTCAAAATGCCCTTTATCGTGTGTCCATCCCAGTCAAAGGTGTATATTGGCTTTACACAGTCAAGATCCTTGAGATCATCGACGACCCGGACGGGATGGAAAGCTCCGCTCTCTTCCCGATTACGGATGCCCAGAAGTTGGGTCCACCGGTCGGTGAGATCGATAAGAGCCCAATCTAACTCATCGGAAGGCGATCCGTCGGAAGACTCTTTTAACCTACCCACTACTTGTAGGTCGAGAAGCGGTGGTGGAGCAGCCTTTGGCTCGACCTCTGTGAAGATGACGTCCTCTGAAGACTCTCCCTCCGACACATGGTGGGAGTTTGGATGGTCTGCATGCATGGCTATCGTGCCCCTCATGTCGGACGTACATGTTGGCTCGTCGTCCGAGTCATCAATGATGGAAAATGTTGACTCTGTATCGCACTCTTCATCGCCGGCAATGTCCACAGTAGCTGGAGTTGTACTGAGCCGCAAGGCATGTGCTATTGTCAGACCGTAAGGTTTGCCGTCTAGGAGTACTATGCCTCCCATGGTCGAGTCAGGAGAGCGAGCTACGCCACTAACGGCGGTCTCGTCTGGTCTCAGGAAGAACAGCGGCATTCCACACCGGAGATTGAGTGGCTCTGATGTGTAGACCAGTATTTCATTGTCATGAAACGTGGCCATGCGGACAGGCCTTGGTCGATCTCGTAGATGGACGAGTTTGAAACCTGGGTGCTCCTTACGGAAACACTCCCAAAAGTCACTTTCTTTGATGGCAATGATGGCCTTGTGGCAATAACCCTTGCTCTGGCAGCTGACCGCGATACAAGGGCGCGCTGTCTCCGGCGTAGGTCCGAACATGTAACAATCGATGCTGGAAGGCAGGGCCGACTCGGTTTCGCCCTCAAACAGATCGTCTCGGCAGGATAGGCAATTCTTGATGTTGCCTTCAATAGAGGAGTATGCTGCTAGAGCCGGCCCCTTTACCGCCCAGAAGAAGTATTCTGTGAGCTGAAGCTTTGAGCGATCACGCTTTACCAACGCGGGAAATGTAAAATCAATTGATTCCAGAGGCTCAGGCCAGGTTTCCTTTGGCTTCAGCAAGTCCCTGAGGCGTGCGGAATGGCGGACCATCGTCGTAGTGACGCTGTTGGCACTCATCACGCCTGAATAGCTGACATCGATGGAATTCGAGATATGTTTGCGGTGGGAAACACAAGCAGTTCGCAAACCACCAAGATCACATCTGAATGCCGATTAACAATGTAGCAGCCGGAAGGACAAAGAAGGAGAAGGGTTGTGCGAATTGTTGTTTCGAGCGATAGACCGGGCTGAGTGGAAGGGCTGATCATATCACCCCGCCCAATTTCTATTTGGCCAGTTCCCCAACACAGCCACGTTCGATTCCACCAGTGTGCTGGTCAACCAGCCATCTCGGCAAGGCGGTGCTCGATCAAATGCTGCCTGTATAAGCCCAGTGTGCACGTGGCTAAATCCAAGAGACTGCTGCACCGCTGGAGTTCTGCCTTGTTCGAGGCTGTTGTTTCTGAACCCTTCTTGAGCATACCGTACGCCAGTCTCCTTCTGATGGCCAAGATGTACAACTGAGATCTTGCGTAAATTGTTTTCAGTGTTGTGAGACATGAACATGTTCACCATATGGAAATCAGACAAGCGCCAATCATCGCTCCAGGAAGCCACAGACCTCGACACACCGCTATTTTCCGAGCTGCTCCTTTCTCTCGAGAGCCGACAGCGCTTTCTGGAACTTGCCTGGAAGGTCCAACCTCCTAGTCCGTCAAAAGCAGACAACCTCGAGAGATTTGAATTTTACTTCCATCATTACCATGAATGCTGCGGGAAGATCTCGTCAGTCATCAAAACATGTTCACATAGGCACGTCTGCCAAACAATCCGAGAACTAAAGGACCGCACACGAGAACAATGTGAAGAGGCGGTACTGCAATCGCTTCCAGCTGGCTCCACTGCTGCTATGGCGGCCGAGCTGGTTGACTTTACCGGCAAGGCAGCACTTTTCATAGACTTTGCAGACTGGGATTCGACGGAGTCCCTACCGATATTCTTGTCGCGGAAAATTGCGAGCAAGTCAACGATCAAAGATGAGTTCCGAATGCGCAGATCATTCAATGCAAGAGCATTTGCGATGGTCGCAGGTATCAATGTTCAATGGACTCGAAATCTCGCCGAGCATCTCGAGGTAACAGGCGACGATTCAGACATTGCCATCTTCCACTGTGTCGCCGCACTGGATCTGTATGAGCAATCCGAGTTCAACCAGATGCTACCCGCCGGCTTTGTGGAGGAGACACGGCGCACCTTGGCCCTGATGCTTCCGAGCGCAGACCAAAATACGCAGGCATGGTTGGAAAAGCAAAAGCGCAAACGGAAACTGGATCCTCGATGTGGCAGCTGCCCGCACTTGAAAGCATCTCAGCGGCACACTCGGGACTTTGACTTCTGGAGGGATCGTATCGTTGTTGCAAAGGAGGTCTTTGACGAGCACCAGCCCAAGGGCATTCTGCAGGTCTGGCGCGATAACCGAAACCAGGTTCAGTGGTGGACATTCTGGATAGCCATTATCTTGTTCATCTTAACGATCATTGCCTGCGTTGAGGGTGCCCTGCAGGTGTACAAAGCTTACCGCCCCTCAAGTTAGAGGAGTCGCAAGACCAAGCACTCGCAACCTACGAGAACGCCTGCCCTATATCCTGTTGATAGACGTCTCAGACACAGGTAACTCATTCCGGCGGAGTTGACTTGTTGGCTAATAACCTGAGGGAGTATTTAGGTGTTGGACATTCCTTTTGGGGCCCATTCCCAGAGGCTTTCATGAGATCCTCAGGCCAAGGGCTGAAGGTCGAGTCCTGTTCTAGCCCATGGACAGAGGAGTTCTCGATAAGAGGGTATATTCGTATCTCAAGCCCGACATTGTTGGCAAGAGCTGAATACGAGTACTTAGAGTATTGGGCACCTTTGCCAGTAGGCCATATTGGGCCCAATCATAGGTAGGTTTGTGTGATCCTGGGGGAGCGAATGCAGGTTTAGTGTATCTGGGATCCTACCGAGTGCGGGGTGTCGAGAAGGGCACTGAGGAGACCGAGACATGGCACCGTCTGGACTACTCTGTTGGTGGATGTTGCATAGAGTCCACCGACCACACACATCACCGCAGACTCTGTTGGTCCGTCAATCAAGCAGTCCCTTTTCCTCTCGTATATACGCAGACTCATTATGCGGTTTCCACATTGACTCTTACACGGACGGACCTGTCATGCTACAACCTCGGTCTTCCGGCCGCGCCATTCGTTTGCTGGAGCTACCAAGAAATCCTCCAAGCCGGTGCCACGAACTGGCCGTGGACAGCCAACTCACACGAGGAACGGCTCTTAGTGCGCCGACGACCTCCCTGGATGCCGAAGAATCTCTTTTCTAACCCCAGGAGACAGATCGATTAACGAGATGCAAAGTGGCCCATTGATACCGCGTTGCGGCATTCTTATCTTTTCCAGGGGACACGGCTTTGATCTCCGTGGGCTCCTAAGCTCGGGTATTACGTTTTTGAATGCCAGATCTTGGAGACATGGGCCGGCCAACCATTACTATCCCCGCATCGCGAACCGAAAACTTATATATGAAAAGTGGCCCTGGTACGTACAGGGGGGGGTTTTTTCGGGGGCAGTCTCTCATAACTTCCTGCGATGGCACACGATAGTCCCCAGATCTCGATGAGCCGAGACCCCTCGCCTAGAAGCATCCAGATGAGCCTGGGGGAGACGACAACGTCCATGAAGGAGGCCAAAGTCCAGGATATCAGCATCACCGAGGCGAATGCTCCGGGGGCGGTTGACCCCGAAACCCCTCCAGACGGGGGTTTGAAGGCGTGGATCGTGGTTTTCGGGTCATTCTTTGCCTTTATGTGCAGTTTCGGCTGGTTGCAATGTGAGTCTCGATTGCCTTTCTGGGAGAACCTACCCTGCACTCTTCTCGCACCCAATGCCTCTTTTCTACGCGAGTACTTGAGTCTTTTGGGCTGATTTCCGGATCTCCTGGACAGTACAGGTATCGGCATCTTCCAGGATTATTACCAGAACTATCTGCTCCGTGGACTGTCTCCGAGCACCATTGCCTGGATTTCGTCCGTCCAGTCCTTCGTGCTGTATATCATGGTAAGTCACCGCATGCCCCCGCCAAAGAGGAAGAGAGAACTCAACCGTTGATGTGTTCGCAGGGGGGCGTCTCAGGAAAGCTGTATGACAACTACGGACCAAGATGGCCTCTATTGGTCGGGTCCTTTCTCACGGTCTTCGGGATGATGATGACCTCCGTCTCCAAAGAGTATTATCAGATCTTCCTCTCCCAGAGTATCTGCTGGGCCGTGGGACTCAGTCTCGTTTTCTTCACGAGTATGTCTTACCGCCCCCATGCTTCCTCCTATACCTTAAGGCACTGACGTTGTCCACAGCCGCAGGTGTCTTGGGGACTTGGTTTAAACTGCGCTATCCCCTGGTCATAGCCATTGCCGTGTGCGGTTCCAGCCTCGGCGGAGTTATCTTCCCGATCATGATGGACCGTATCACACAGTCTCTGGGCTTTCCGTGGGCAATCAGGATCGCGGCTTTCCTGAGCGTGGTGCTCTTGGCCATTGTCAATCTCACAGTCAAGGCGCGGACACCGCCACGGCCTCAGCCGCTGCGCATTTCCGAGTTCGCCAAACCTTTCGCGAAGCTTTCATTCTCGCTGACCGTGTTTGGCACATGCTTGATCTACTTCAGCATACTCTTGCCTTACAACTACGTTGTCGTGCAGGCGAGGCAGGCTGGAATGTCCTCGAATTTGGTTCAATATCTGGTACCGATCATGAATGCAACAAGGTAAGCCAAACACACACACGCCGGTATTCTTACTACACGGCACGCGTGCTAATAAGATTTCCAGTGTACCTGGACGCCTTATACCTGGCTATATCGCTATTCGTTACGGGGGATACAATATTTTCATCATCATCTCGATCATATCAGGCGTCCTGTGCCTTGCCTTGTGGCTACCGGCAAACTCCAATGCCACGATAGTGACTTTTGCGGCGCTTTACGGAGCTTTCGGCGGCGGGATATTCACCATGGTGTCGTCGCTCGTCATTTACGACTGCCCTATCCCTGAGTTGGGGGTCCGCTATGGGACCTTTTTCATGACGGTTTCGTTCATGTTGTTGGCGGGGAATCCGGTCGGTGGAGCCATTGTCTCGCTTGAAGGTGGAGGATATACAGGCTTGAAGATATTTACCGGGGTGACGCTGCTAGCAGGGGTGTCTTTCGTCATCATGGCAAGGTTGCTGATTACCAACTTCAAACTCAGGGTCGTTGTATAGGCGCAAAATATGGGGCGCAGCTGCACATGTTGACCCGAACGTGGAATAAAGACGAAGCTTAGAGGTTTTCGAGTAAATGAAACAAACTGCCCTAGGCCTCCATGTTGAGAACGAATTGAATACACAGGGCGTTAACTTACACGTACCCCTAGGGCGGCTCAACATACCCAGTAGATAACTGGTCTTCGTCAAAACGGGGTACGCCCTCTTTGTTTGTGGCTTTTCCCGAGCACAGCCACGATCGATGTGCTGCCCAATCCAGCCATATTGGCAGGACAGCGCCCCTTCAATTGCAGCCTGGTACGCGAATGAACGACGGTCCTTCGATCTATCTGAGAACTTCCTAAACGCTACAGCCCTAGTTTGAATATCTGTGGGTTCTGTGATTGTCGTTTATGCAGGAGTGCAAGCCACAGGAGACTGGGAATTCGGATTGGTATTGGATCATTGATTGTTGCTCTGGTGATGTTTTGGTTTCTTCCTAGGTCACATGCCAACCATACCATATACCATACCTTCTCTGCTGACGTTGAAGGGTATCTGATGAATGTCTGACTTTATCGGACCATTGGATTATCTTTGCTCTTGCATCCTTGCGAAGTAATGATCTCGTCCGCCGCTTGTCTGTTTCCCCGACCTCCACAACAAAGTCAAGTCGCAGAACGTCTGCGGGTACAAAGGTTCGAACCTATCGGTGCTCTTTGAAAACGAAGAGGAACAAGAAGTCAGGCTCTCTCTTCCGCCACAAGGACACGCAACGAAGCAAGTGCTCAATCTTAAACCTCCCACTCTGCCTGCTGCATATTCGGCTCGGACACCAGAAGTCTGCGTCTTCTGCCCACCGCGTCTATTTGTCGAAACATTCTGAGACATCCTTCGAGTTTGTGTTGAACATTGGCGATGTCATCTTTCCAAAGAGACGATTTTGATCTCCGTGGCCACCGAGTGGAAGAATCCACAGTACCGCAAACCGTCAGGAATCTTACACGATACTTCGCAAACTTTAAACTTGAGATCATCTCGACATATAGCTGTGAACTGTGAGAATGTGTCGCTTCGAATAGCAGCAGAAATGAGGATGGCCACGTCTGGGAAGTGGTCCTTCAGGACGCCGAGGAGTTCGGCTAGTGGTCGCAGGATGTCGGGGTGGTAAGTAATGTCGGCGCCAATGACAAGGTCGTAGCGCTTGCCTGACTTCTCTGCTTTATGCAGCAATTCATCAATTCCCGCCCGATCCGTCCAGTCTAGTTGGCGAACTTCCGGCGATTGACACCCATCAAGAACGCCGTTTTCCTGATTCAACAGAATATTTTTCACCAAACTCTCGCAAACAAGTCCTAAACCATCGGTTGCCAGCACAGATGAGGCCTTGAGGTGAGCAGCGCATAGCAAAGAAAGAAGTCCAGTTCCAGCACCCAGTTCGAGGACATGCTTGTTGCCTACACGTTCTGGTTGCTGGGTAAAGAGATACCACGCTAGATGCAATGCAGCCTCCCACGTACGAAGACCAACATTGTTGCCTCTGGAGAGGAGATTCCTGGCTTCGTTGATGAGGACTGGCCGGACTCCAGGCTCGTCAAGGGGAAGTGGAGGATAGTACGAGTGAACACGTAGTTGCTGTGCTTCTTCTGTCTGGTCCTGTTGGGGGAGGCTGGAGAGGTAACCCATATGCTCCATTAGATGATCTGAGACTTGCTGCAGCGTAATCAGATGTCAGTCGTTCAACGTCGGGAAGGGGGCAGGATGACAAGGACATGGCATGGGGACGGTCGTCATCAATTGCTTCGGCTCTGTCGGATTTCAGCCTACATCTTCTTCGGGGTCCTTGCAAGAGTCTTCAATCTCTTCAATCAGACGTCGCAAAATCCTGCCCTGATACCGTGGGGGAGGCAAGTATTTGTTCTGGCTAGAGTCGAAGAAATACCGATACAAGCAGTCTTGCACGTCCGGATTCACCAGGAGCGCGCCTGGGGGGTAAGTCAAATCATTGATCTGCTGCATGTACTGCCGATAGAACTTGGTCACAATCGGCTCTACTCCGGCTCGAGTGATGTCCATCCCGAAGGGAAGCGGCGGGTCACCGAGTCTGTGTGCGGTGTGTTTTTGTGCAGAATCAAGACCAGAGGGGCTCAAATATCAATGACCCAAAGACGTATGACCCGAGATACGCGTTCTCTTGCACTGAAACGCACATATGTCTTCCAGTTCGCACATCAGGAGAATGGAAAGAAATTGCAAGTTGGTTTGCATGGTAGTATGTGGTGGGAAATGGCACTAGCCAAATACAGAGTAGCGCGGCAGGCGCCAAGATTTCGAAATGCCAAGCCCACAATTTTCGGGAAGGAGCGAATCTTTGCTCGACACTGCGGCCTTTCCACAACTGCAGTCAATTTGAGTGTCGAACAAATTCATCTCGACCAGCTCGACAGTTCCATCCTTCACTGTCTCGATTGCGATCCGTCGACAGACAACCGCAAAGAATCGCAATCATGGCCGACTCACCGGTCACCATCCGAACTCGCAAGTTCATCACCAACCGACTGCTGTCGCGCAAGCAGATGGTCCTGTAAGGGCGCACACTCCCCAGATCAATTCGCAATGGCATCAATTTTTCAGAGGTCTCAAGCTGACATGTGTATGATTTTCTCTGCTGCAGTGATGTCCTCCACCCCAACCGCCCCAATGTCTCCAAAGACGACCTCCGCGCCAAACTCGCCGAAGTCTACAAATCCAACAAGGACCAGATCAACGTGTTCGGCATGCGGACGCAATACGGTGGCGGCAAGTCCACTGGCTTCGCTCTCATCTACGACTCCGTCGAGGCCATGAAGAAATTCGAACCGCACTACAGATTGGTCCGAGTGGGTCACGCTACCAAGATCGAGAAGGCCAGCAGACAGCAGCGCAAGCAACGCAAGAACCGGTCGAAGGAGTTCAGAGGCACGGCGAAGACAAAGGGTGCGAAGAAGTCCAAGGACAAATAAACGCGTGCTGGCTTCTGGGTGTGGTGGTTATGTTGGGTGGTGGATGTGGACTGTGGTGCCGGATCGAGGGAGGCAATGGTTGCTTGTGCTTGTTCATGGACTAGAAAGAAATGACAAAAGCCAGGCCTGCTACTTGTCCCCGAAAGGAGATTTATGGTGGTGTTGAAGCATGGTCAAGTACGCCCTTTCCCAGATGAAGACAGAGCCGCCTATTGCGTGCAATCTTAGAGGGGGAACCATTTTCTGCATTGAAGTTTGCGGAATGGGCAATGGCGCAACGAGATCGACACTGCATTGAAATGATATCAAACTTGTGAAATGCAAAAAGCAACGAGTCACCTTGCCAAACTTCCTACAACCTGCGTGAACTCTGATCATACCTCGTATCGCTGTACCGCACATCGGAGAGATAACCGAAGTCGACAGGGAAATAGAACATGTGGACTAGCTGATAGGTCAGTCAGCGATGGCGACCTTGAGAATGAGATGACAATAGTATGCCTTTTGTTTTGTTTTGTTTTCTAGCCCACGCTACAGTTTTCAACAATCTGGGTCAGGACACAGGTCGATGGGCAAGCAGGGTCCTCGTCTATCACAGCATCGCCGTCTGGCTTTCCACCAGCTGGGCCAAGAAAAGCAGGGAGACGGGTAGACAGACAAGTGAGTAAGCACAGTGGCAGGTAGGTGGTAGGAGGTAATCATACACGGCTCGTGCTCCTTCATAGTTCTGTCTGTCTGGGTCTGCTTCTCCATCGCTCGAACAACTAAACGGACTCTGTCCCGTGGCGCTGCTCAGTCCATCCCTTCCATACACAGCAGAACGAATACAAAACCCCCGCTCGTGGCATGGCGTACACATCTGGAGAGCACTCATACATGAAACCCTTTTCGTAAGACGGCATACTTTTTCTTCCTCCGATCATCATTTCACTGTGCTCGGAACGAGGCCACCAGCTCGAACATTGCAAGCCAAACTGAATCGATGACTCGGACCTCCCTTTCCAAAAGCTGTTATCTCCTCTTAGCCCTCTTCCAACCATCTTTTCGGAATCATGAAGTCCAACGGAAAACCGAACAGAACATGGAGCTGATATTAATTCTACCATCGTGATAGCCCGAAATGTATTGCCGAATCCCCTCGGCTGTGGTGCGGTCCTGTGCTCCTTCTGCGGCATGGAAACGTGTCCTGTTGCTTATTAGATTTATCTGATTCATATAAAATTGGCAGTATACAGAAAATATATTTTGAACGCGCACAGATTGGTCGAGCAACAAGTTTTGAGACAGTACAGAGACATTAGACGAGATTTTGGCGCGGGTCAGGAAACGGAAATATGGTATCACAGCACCAGGGTGCTTTTCAGTAAGTTGACAAGGTGTTGTTGATCGAAGTGATCGAAGTGCGAGTCGACTCGGTTGTCTGACAGCTGGAACAGTCTGGACTGCAGTCATCTGAGCCCGATTCTGGGCGTGGAACCATGGCTCGCCCGTAGAATGGCCCAGTAAAGGATTGGTTTGAAGCACTCATCGACTGTGAGCTGTGCCCATTCGCGGAGCCTTTGTACCCGTATGTCGCAGCATGGTCCTCAACGGAGGACTTAAGGCTTTGGTGGGAGACCGCACTCAACGATGAATGCTGCGAGAGAGTATGTTCTGCTGGAGCAGTTGTTGCCACTGCTGGCTGGGCTTCGTTGACAACAAGCTGCTCGCCAGATGCCACCGACGTCGCAGAGAGCACTTCACCCAAACCCATTTGGCCGTAAGTCAGGTCCTGGACTCTGTAGGAAATATTTTCCCTGGCATTGTGTTGTTCTTGAGCTCCGTTTGAGTCTGCTTGGGGTGACATCTGCTGAACAGAGGTCGCACTGTCACCGTTCCAATAGCTCTGGCTGCGTTGGCTTACAGCAGAAATCGGGAGATCCACTGAACTGGCCGGTGTAGGGATATAGCTTCGTGCACTGATGGGCTGTGGCAAGATACGGTCTGATGGAAGGCTTCCACCAGCCCCAATTGTTTGGAATGATTGAGGAGCTTCATTAGGCATCGTATAAGAGGTGCTAGTTGCCTGAGCATTGGGTTGAGGTACATATTGCTGAGTCTCTGGCCAAAGTGAACCAGGATGAGGTCGAACCCCGTGGCCGTGGATATAGTAGGCGTTGTTCGTAGACATCGGATCCGTGTTCGGGAGAATGTACGGAGGAGGTTGGGTGGTGTAAGGGCTAGTTCCCTCATCATCTGGGTATGGTGAGTAAGGTCCGACATATTGTGCTCTCCCCCAATCAACGCTTGTACTTTGATTGGTGTATCCGCCATATTCAATGCCACTGGGCACAGGGTGGTATTGCAGACTGCTTTGTGGACTGCACCTTGACGGTACAGACACATAATTCAGACGGTGATGCGCAGGAAGCGAGTATGGTGAGTATCGTGGAGGTCCATGCCACGCTCGAAAGCCATACTGACTGGGGTCCACCGAGGAAACCTGGAGGTTGTTAGACGGTTGTGTATGTCTGGATTGAAGACGAAAGACGAAAGCTCACCCGCAGAAAGCGACATGAGTCCTCTAGGCCCGAGTTCTTGCAGTTTGCACATGCCTGGCTATCACCTTCGTTGCCACTGCATTTGATTTTGCGTTTCCGGCATCTTTCACACTGCAAGACGTGAGCAAGTGATATTTTGAGTTTGCTTGCCACGGACTTTTCGATACATACTGCAACTGGTACCCGCTTTCTTGAGCCGCTCGTTGCTCTGCTATCTGGTTCAGACGTGGGTGTTGTACGGCTGCTGAGGTGGCCTCCAGTTTCATATTGGTCATGGATGTGAGAACTTTGGCTCAGGGCCATATGGGGACCTCTCTCATTGCGTCTGAAGAACTCAAAGTCCGGGTAAAGTGATCGTGTGGAGATCTAGAGCTTGTGTCAACACGAAGGAATGCGACATCCGGGGGTTTCTTTTACCATGACGTGCTTCGCAAAGCAATATGGACACAAGCGGTCAAGGCTCCTCGATCGTCAAAAATTGCGTTATCACCAACCGCCACCTCGACCACGACCAGTTCTGAAGCAAGCTCTCTGACAACGATCCCAGACCATCAAGTAGCTCAGAGCTGGTTCTGAGCAATGAAAACTGGCGAGTGAGCAGAAAGGTAGCCAGGATCAGGTTGATAGTGACATTTTCAAGGGCATACTCCAATAGGAAAAAAGATGGGCAAGCTTCAACAGTTGTGGGAGCCGGATCAATGAGGTATGTCATATCATGATCGGTGTCGAGCTGAAAAGCTTTGCTATTCTCTCAAATTACGCCTGGATCAAGTCACGCTTTCGGACTTGGCCTTTGAAACCTGATCTAAGATTCCCTTGTAACGGCCAATGCAGGCGTCCGACCGTGTGACCATGATGCTTGGTCCACTGCGACAACTTGATTCAACGGGCATAAGATGGTCTGACCAGTCATCAATCAACTGATGGAGCGCCTGCCATATCAGCTGTGAAACAAATCGGACGCACAAGACCAATCAAAACATGACGATGCCTCAGAGACCAACCTGCGAACAGTACTTGAGCAGTAGGTGCAGGTAGCATTGGTTCTGGATCTAGCGTCGACAGGTTCCATGTGGGGAAACAAAACAAGCCCACAGCCTCTTTGAGCCACACCTGGAGGGATATGGGTTACGCACCTTCCAACGGACATGCTCTTCAAAGGGTGGGATATCAATCATCCAGTGCTGTTGGTACTAGCTCCAACAAGAGGCAAAGGATGGATTCTGTTTGCTCCCAGCATGTCTCCGCCTTGATTGGCCACAACCCCCTGCAGAGAACGTGGCATATGCATCATCCGCACCGGAGCAAACTCGCAGCTGATAACACCGTTTGAGAATTGGGCCATGGCTAGAGGGACGAGGGCCAAGTCCTTTGCGCAAACTTTTCAAATTCTGATATCGAGGAAGATTGGCTTTCGACTGCACAGCCTTACCACCCGTTAACTGGTTATGCATTTGGCTGTTGACAATCTATGCTGAGCAGATAATCCGTGCAACATAGCCACTCGAGGCCACGAAGATTCTCCGACTGAAATAGGTCCGGAATATACGGGATTTTCTCATGTGCTAAGCTTGCAACAAGGTTGATGCACATGACAGAGGGTAGCGGTGGTGCATGTCACCAGTAGGAGGTCTCCTGAGTCGGATTGAACCCTGTGTCCAATGTCAGCCCCTGGGCAAGGGCTGCAAAAAGCCTGCGGAACATCACAGGATATTTTGGTCGCACAAGATGTCGAAAGGTTGACCTCATTCCCTAGAAGCCCAACGTGCAGCGCGATTTGACAAATCAGAGACTGAGTTTCAGGTGCCTCTTGGTCACACAAAGGCGCATCAATACCAGGATGGAGCCCCAACGAGGCTAGAACTGCCGCCACACTTTTGTGGGAGGCAACCAGGAAGATCCCTCCGTAGGGTGTGGGCACGACAGGAAGTAGTGCTGAAGGCAACCCCCGAATGCTACCATCCTCAATGTGACCAAGGGTGCCATGAACCGCCAATACCTTTGTCACAGGACATCATAATATAGAGGATGCAAAGAGTATTGCCATCTCCGTCGTGTAAACCGTTGCAGACCCCCGCCACTTGAGGATTGTCAGGTTGGTCGTAGACGCGGAAAAAGAATCTCCATCAGCTGACGTTTGAAAACAAGCCGGGTGAGATCGCAGCCTCCCTCTGTGCAGGCTCATGTGGTGCAGAGCAATGCTGGTTGCAGGATAAAGGAGGGTTGATAGCCCGCCTAGGCCAGGACGGCTGGACCTGTCATCGAAGCGGGTGGAAGCCGAGAAGGAAGACGGTTCGTGACAGAATCGGGGGATTTTTGTATGACTGTGCGAAAGGAGAACAGAAGGGATGGGTAGTTGCATGGCCAAAAGTCGTGTACAGAGTACCTCCTCGTCAATAAAAGGCCTACATTGACTTGCCATGAGAAAGCGAGTGGTTGAACATGTTGTCCTCCACAGTCATGCTGACGAATGAGAATGACTAGTCGGACAGGTGGCCCGTTGGGTCTTCAAGGTGGACAATGTACACCAAGATGAGAGGTCTAGCAAGCTAGGCTAGAACCACGGCGGGAGCATTGGCGCAGGAGAGCGGAAGCGTAGGTACTGATAGCCTAGCGAGCCTCAGTTCAACCCATCTAAGACGAATGATTCTCCCCGATGTCGGCAATACCTGTGTAATGAGCAAGACAGGAGGGAAGGCAGCCTGGACGGACCAGGAAGAAGCTGCCAGCTGGACGAGATCATGATGCAGGGAGAGCAAGATGGCGAGGATGGTTACAAGGTGCTGAGAAGCCCCAAATGGGCTGCAGGCGCAAGAAGCCGCCTTGGCAGCGCGTTTAAAATGACGGCCTGGCTGGTCATTTCAAGTTTTCTCTTGGATGTCGCTGTGGCGATCTAGACACACCAAAGCAACTCATTGCATCAATTCCCATGCCCTGAGTAGCCACCTCCCCTTGTCATTCAGTCTACGACTTCATTGCGCATCAGATAGCAACAGCCATCGCCTCGTGACATCCGTCATTGCTGCCCCAGGGACCGCACGCATGCCCAACAGGCGGGAGATTCTTGAGGTACACCCGGAATTATCATCTCTAGGGCCTTCACCATGAGCGTGATACTGGAGACGTCTCTGGGCGAAATTGTTATCGATCTCTTGGTTGACAACGCACCCAAATGCTGTGAGAAGTAAGACCTCTACCATGCCATGTCGCTTCTGTCAATGCGCTGACCGGTGATTTAGCTTCTTGAAACTCTGCAAAATCAAGTATTACAACTTCTCCCCGTTCCACAGCGTCCAGAAAGGCTTTAGCTGTCAGACTGGAGATCCACTCGGTCCAGATTCACCCGACAGTGATGGCGGCAGTTCTATCTGGGGCTTGCTATCAGGCCCCTCGAAGAAGAGTTTCATAGCCAACATCGACCCGAAGCTGAAACATTCCCAGCGTGGGACAGTCAGTATGGCCACTGTGCCCTCGCCCCGCGACCCTGATGAGCGACTCGCCGGCAGCCAGTTCATCATCACTCTCGGAGACGACATTGACTACTTGGATGGAAAGGCCGCGCCTTTTGGCATGGTAGTCGAAGGTTTCGATACTCTAGACAAGATCAACAGTGCCTTCACAGATGCCAATGGCAGACCCCTCAGGGACATCCGGATCCGGCACACCATCATATTGGAAGATCCCTATGACGACCCCCCAGGGCTGGTTGTCCCTGACTCAAGTCCTGCCCCGACCAAGGCACAATTGGCAACTGTTATGATCGCCGACGATGAAGAACTAGACGAGGAAGTGGATGAGGCTGCTATGGAGAAGCTGCGAAGAGAACGAGAGGCAAGGGCACAGGCTCTAACTCTCGAAATGGTTGGTGACCTCCCTTTTGCTGAGGTGAAGCCTCCTGAAAATGTTCTTTTTGTCTGCAAACTGAATCCCGTTACGAATGATGAAGATCTCGAGTTGATCTTCAGCCGCTTTGGCAAAATCCTTTCTTGCGAGGTCATCAGGGACAAACGCACTGGTGACAGCCTGCAGTACGCCTTCATTGAGTTCGAGAATCAAAAGGACTGTGAGCAAGCCTACTTCAAGATGCAAGGTGTGCTCATCGACGACCATCGCATCCACGTGGACTTCTCCCAGAGCGTCTCTAAGTTGTCTGACACCTGGAGAGACGCAACGAACTCGAAGAGAGCAAGGCAATCTGGAGGTTTTGGTGGGATTGCAAGCCTCGAGAAGCGACGGCATTATCGAGAGGACGGTGGCCGTGGGCAAAATGGCGGCAACTACAGAATGGTCTTTGACAAAGATGACATTCGCCGAAACAGAGAGCCCCGACGAGAAGAGGGATCGCGAAGATCTCGCAGCAGAAGCCCAAGATATGACAGCAAAGAATCCAGACGGGATGAATACCGACCTAGAGATCAGGATAAACACGACCACAGGGATCGTCGGGAAAGGCATCAATATCGTGACAGAGATCGGGATAGAGACAGAGATGGTGACAGAGACGGAGGAGGGCGAGGACAGTCGTATCGCTCAGGTTCCTGGAGGGACAGAGACCGCTGATCTGAGAGACCGTAGGGTACATTGATGCCTGTACAACAATTGCTAGCTGGCTCCTTCCATACTGCAAACATCGTTCATGCGTAAACGTGGATGATTGGACTGTATTGTGGCCATGCATAGTATATCTCGTCGGTTGAAACCTTGTCATACGTCACCACGAGGCTGAGGTGATTTTGGAGAGGGCGAAGGATGCGGAGATGTTTTGGAAACTGTTGTCTCACCGCGCTAAACATCCCTCCTCCCTTCCCAGAACCCGCCAGCTGAGCCAGCTGAACCAAAGCTGATCTTGCCGGCCCCATTTGGGAGCTGTCTTCTTTGAAAGGGTGAGCAGTTGTCTTTGTCCGCCAAAGGTGACACCTTTCTTCCCTCCCACGGTACTCTCTCCTGCCACTTCCTCTGCACCACCAGTTGCATTGCGATCGCCAACAACGACTCACGATGGCTGCAAACATGGTAAACACGCTCCTTGAAAAGCTGCATCTGACCTCCAAGGATCAGGGTGCTCCTGCCCAAGAGCCTGACGAAGAGGAGTTGAAGGCCTTGCGTCAGAAATACGAGAAGGCGAATCAAGAACATGTCTTTGCTTTCTACGATGAACTTGACACTGAAGGGAAGGCTGCTCTGTTTGAGCAGCTGTCCAACTTCGACCCAGACCGCATCAATATCCTCGCAGACAAGGCCCTGTACCCTCCGAAAGACTCGGACCAGCAGCCACCTTCCATCAATCCCCTTCCCGAGTCCGCCACTGCCTCCCTCCTCGATGCCTCAGACGACCAGAAAGAAGAGTGGTACAAGGCTGGGCTTTCTCTTATTGCACAGAACAAGGTTGCCGTGGTCCTGATGGCAGGTGGACAAGGCACCAGATTGGGAAGCTCTGATCCCAAAGGATGCTTTGACATTGGCCTACCAAGCAAGAAATCATTATTTCAGATGCAGGCAGAGCGAATCTGGAAGGTGCAACAGTTGGCCAAACAGCACGCTGGCTCTTCGGCGGATCCAATAGTCCCCTGGTATGTCATGACTAGCGGTCCTACTCGAGCACCTACGGAGAAATTCTTCGAGAAGCACAACTACTTCGGTCTGGCCAAGGAGAACGTCATCATCTTCGAACAGGGCGTGCTCCCGTGCATTTCCAACGAAGGGAAGATTCTCATGGAGAGCAAATCCAAGGTCGCTGTTGCTCCGGACGGTAATGGCGGTATTTACCAAGCTTTGGTGTTGTCCGGGGCTCGTGCAGATCAGCAGAAACGTGGCATTGAACACGTCCATGCATACTGTGTTGACAACTGTCTTGTCAAAGTTGCCGATCCGGTGTTCGTTGGCTTCGCAGCATCGAAAGACGTTGACATTGCCACCAAAGTTGTGCGAAAGCGAGCTGCTAACGAGCCCGTTGGTCTGATCGTGGAGAAGAACGGAAAGCCCGACGTGGTGGAGTACTCTGAGATCGACAAAGAGATGGCCCAGGCTACGGACAGCTCAGATCGCCTCAAATTCCGAGCTGCCAACATTGTCAACCACTACTACTCATTCAGATTCTTCGAGGCCATCGAGGAATGGGGCCACAAGTTGCCTCATCACGTTGCCAAGAAGAAGATCCCTTACATGGACACTGAGACGGGTGAGACCGTAAAGCCGGAGAAACCAAACGGCATCAAGTTGGAGCAGTTCGTGTTTGATGTCTTTCCATTTGTCCCCATGGACAAGTTCGCGTGCTTTGAGGTCGACCGGAAAGAGGAGTTCTCGCCATTGAAGAATGCTCGTGGCTCAGCAGAAGACAATCCAGATACCAGCAAAGCAGACATCATGGAACAGGGAACCCGATGGCTGACAGCGGCAGGAGCCACGGTCGTGTCCGAGGGCAACGACAAGGGCGTCGAAGTGTCTCCGCTCATTAGCTATGTATGTTGCCGCCTTTCGTTCTTGAAAATGCTTATCGCTAACACTTGTGTCAGGGAGGTGAGGGTCTCGGCTACCTGAAAGGGAGAGAGATCAAGGCTCCGGCTGTGATCGAGAGAAGCCCGTCGGAGTAGACCAGTCCAGATTGGATGGGGATACAGGCTGCATGGTCATGACTTTGATGGAATAGAATGACTGCAAGGTTTCACGGTTGGGTACTGCAGTGGGAGTTATCAAGCAAGCTGGGATGATAAAAAGAGATATGATATACTTAGAGACTATCCTGGAGAGCATATGCTCAGGAATCAGCAGTCAGTCTTCACTGCATATATGTAGTTCCACATCACCCATCTCTCAGTAGGGGTGTGTGAATGTGATGGCCTGTATCACTGCTATCACCAACACCCCGACGGTCCAGCCTTTTCAAGCGCCGTAGCGAATCGGTCCCCACAGACTTAAAACGGCGCTAATCCCCCTTCGTGTAAGCGGTCTTGGCATTTGTGGATTCCGGGATTTGCGACTCTGGACAGTTTCCTCGTCGCCTTCATTTTTTTCTCTTCCACCAGTTGGTGTTGATCGGTCGTCGTACGGTTCTACGGAGGCTGGAAGTCGTTGGAAAGGTCGTGTGGGAAGTTGCGCCATCTGTAAGTGACTGCCGCTCCAGTTCTTTCTCGCTGCAAGCTTGCTTTGTTCGCTTGTGCCCCTCTTTGAACCCAATTCCCAAGTTCGAGGAGATCCCCCTTCTGCACCTATCCGCGATCTTGCATCTTCCAACGGCTAACGTCCGATCACAGGTTGCGGGACTTGGGATTCTCGAACGCGGTTTCAATTGAGCAGGTATGCTCTCCTCCATTTTTTTTGATACGCCGCGCCTGTTCCTTATCGGTGGTCGAAATGATCGAAACGTCCAATCGACAAGCTATGCATGCGCTTGGGGCAATCAATGTCGCGCGTACCACAATTTCAAGAGAAGGAATCTAACACTGTCGCCCTAGGGACCGAGGAAAAATTTCAGCAAAAGTAGTCAAGATGTCGTCTCTTTCCCGACGCGCCTGCTACAAGTGTGGTAATGTTGGCCATTATGCCGAAGTCTGCACTTCCTCCGAGAGGTTGTGCTACAACTGCAAGCAACCAGGCCACGAATCAAACCAGTGCCCTATGCCACGTACAACGGAGAGTGAGTACCGGTCTATCAACGATATCAGGTTCCCAGCGCTGACGGTGGTTTCCCGCAGCGAAACAATGTTACCATTGCCAGGGGCTAGGACATGTTCAAGCGGATTGCCCGACCCTGCGCATCAACGGCAGCCCTGCTACCGGTCGCTGCTACTCATGTGGCCAGATTGGGCACTTAGCTCGTAATTGCCCTACTCCTAACATGGGACCACCCACTCGTGGTCGTGGGGGTTATGGTGGCTTCCGCCCGGGCTACGGTGTCACCAACAACAGGGCTGCGATGTGTTACAAGTGTGGTGGACCCAACCACTACGCTCGAGACTGTCAAGCTCAAGCTATGAAGTGCTATGCCTGTGGCAAACTCGTCAGTCATTTTGAGCCCTCTTTTTCGGAGGACGTGCCGCTGACAATATGTGATTAGGGCCACATCTCTCGCGACTGCACTGCTCCAAATGGAGGGCCGTTGAACGCTGCAGGCAAGACCTGCTACAAGTGCGGACAGCCAGGCCATATCAGCAAAGATTGCACTTCCACCACTGAAACCAATGGTTCGGCGGTCGCTGTGACGAACGGAACTCCTGCTGATGCTCCTGCAGCTGCTCCTGCGGCGGATGCCACCGAGGTCTCTACCACTGCTGCCCCCGCCGCCGCAGTTGCGTAGAGCACCCAACCTCATTCCATCCTGCACCACAGCATAGCAGCTCAAATTTCCTTGTTTTGTTCCTCGTCCTTTGCATGTTGGTGTTTGAACTCCTCGTCGGAGCAATATCGACACACAGACAGTCCTTTCCGAAATCTACGTCCCCTCAGCATCCAGTTGTTATTGTTTTTTTCTGTCCATTATCCCCCTTTTCAGCAAATCAAACTTCCCGTCACGTTTACGATACCACGGAGGCTGCTATGCCTTTGATTCCTTTTTTTTGGCAATACGCATCGAATCATCGACGCCCCTTTTTGGCGTTCACGACCCTTCACACGACGAACAACCACTGCAAGACTTTTCACGATACAAAACCGGCAAGGCAGGAGAATGGGATCATCGACCACGAGAGAGAGTAAATCGGAACATGGACCAGTCTGAAACTTGCGGCAAAATTGAACGAACATGACTCCAGGATTTCACACGGATCACCCCCATTTGACGGTTTCATCTCCGGCGTTTTTCTGACGAAGATCATCGAATCTTGCTTTCCAATGCGCTACACAACGAAACGACTTTCCTTGGCTTTTCTCTACGATCGGAACACGCCACCGTTTGCAAAAAGGATCTGATTGAGAGGAAGTTAGACCACGCTTTCTGACGTAACCCCAACCGACTAGCTGGAGGGATAAGATAGCATACGGAGCGAAGCGGGCAGTGGACGGCAACGGAAGAAGTGAAAGCGAGGCAGACTGAGCGGGAGACACTGAGTTGTGAGAGTTGGAGGAGAACGGGAGCCTGAGCGAGTTGAGGCAATAGACCGGGTTGGGAGGCAATGAGTGACCCTTCGATGAGATCGATGGTTGCTTGGAGCACACGAAAGAAGAGCACACACCCAAAAAGGAGAATCAAGGTTGGCATCTGCAACTTGTGGGCCATCTTCCTCAGCATCATCATCACCATCATATCCCCTTTTATGAGATTTTTGCCACTTAATGAGAGAGCATCGCTATGCATAGTGCGGAATGCAGCTAGGATTTATTGGACTCTGCCCGACTTTTCTTTTGCGCATTGAGCATTGACAAGTAGTGCGAGACAGAACCTCGTCGGTCGATAACTTAGCTGGACCCGCCGACAACGAAAGCGACGGTGTGACCGATTTCGATCACTGAAGACGACCAAGTTTTGTAGAGGCTTGACGCGAACGGCTCAAGCAATCCTCAACCACCTTGCCTCTCGAGCGAATTCCAGATCCCCTGGTTCGTTTCAGTCTCCAAGCTGAGCAGCCGACGGAAGCGTCCTGACTGCGCCCGGTGTGCGTACGCGCCGGGGAACAACACCACCCACTCGCTCACTGAAAGGAAGCCTTCAAGAGGCTCTGGAGTATTTGCAGCCAAAGCAAGAGAGTTGGGATCTACACACAGCCACAAGTGGATCAACTGACGATGGACCGAGTGGGATATTTCCCTCCTCATTGCCGCATGCAGAGAACGTCAGAACACACACTTGAGACTCCTCTCTCTCGATCCCAATGCTTCAACATGGCTCCGACACCGACACCATGCCACGAACAGGACTTTGCATGCGCTTGCTCCCCGCTCCATCTCGCTCGAACCATCCAGCGAGACATCCCAGCATCGGTTTTGCATGCTCGCGCTGTAGGGTACAAGCGCCCTCCGGATGATGATATAGCTTGACCAAGACAAGACAAGATCTTCTGCTCCGGAACCCAGGACTCCGAACTGACGCTCGTCCTTCCCCAGGACCCGCAACGGGGCGACTGTGGATTTTTCCAGCAGAACTCTGGTGTGATATCTCGGCGAGGGCCGGAATAGAGCATCAATGGGGACTGACCTGAATTGTATATCTGCGAGAATCTGGAAGACCCTTTGTTTCGAACGAGGAGCAAATCCTTTTTGAACCCTTCAAGAGCGGGACAAAACCATTTACCTACTCGAAACAGCGGAAGTCCACCTCATGCGTCTATGGAGGCACAGGAGGAATGGAGAGAGAGGGGATGTTGCACCCAGTGAACAAATTTTGCTCTTATTTTGGACGAGCGTCAAGGGTGGGTATCGTAATTCCTCCTCAGCAGCCTCAGCGGCCTCAGCAGCGGCCTCAGCTGCCATCCAAGACCTCGTTCATCTCCGCCTTTAAAGCAGCTGTCCAAAAGAACTGGCTCAAGACACGATCCAAACGGTCCGAATCGCAATCCTCCGGACACTTCTCCCGAAACACCCTCTTCAAGGACACTGCGTTTTCGGAGTCTGCACCATCCGTGGCCGTCCAGCTATTGACCAGGACAAGCCACATCCAGACCAGGCAGTCCATTTGTGCGGTGGTGGTGGTGGTGGTGGTGTCGCCGGCCTGGTTCGTCGGGGCATTTCCATCTCGCACCGCTGGCTCCTCGACCCGAAAGGCCGGAAGGTCTTGGGTGAGGAGCAGCCTGGGCGTTCGAAAGGCCGTGTGGCTCGCGGACAGGTAATGCCGGTCCGGGGAGAAGGCGACGCTGGCGTAGCAGATCAGCGCGAACACGAGGTACTTTTCAAAGTTGGGCGCCGGGTCGAGCAGGCAGGTGCAGGCGTCGCTGAAGTCGGTGTGCCGTCTGCGCGCGGGCAGCGAGGCCACCGACTCCATCTGCCGCGCGACACCGTCGGGACGGGACCGGATGGCGTCTTGGTAAGAAGCGATGTTGGACAGGACGGTCACTATGTCCACGGCGAGTTTCCCTTGGGTCGCTAGACAACGGAAACCCGGTGGTAGCTTGGAGAGGAGGGATACCGTCTCTGCAGAGAAGGGTGGACAGAGGTATACAGGATTATATGGGGGTTTGGAAGACGCAAACACGGAGGTGTCGCGGTATATATGCGTCCACCACGACTCGAACCTGAACAGCCCACCGGGGGTGGTTGTGTATCAGTGGTAGGAACTTTCGAAGCACTCCATTTGGACGAGTATCATGCGAATGGTGAAAGGGGGCCTTGTTAGAGAGTGGAAATACAGAGAGGCAAGGAAAAGGACAAAGCGTACTGCAAGACGGAGCATTTCAACATGCCATCCAGCCCAAGCACGTCCAGTCCGCCCCGGGACTCTACCATGGTCTTGATCCCGCGCCGATGCATCTGGAATGCCTCTAGATCGCCAAATGCACTCTGGGGGGTTGTCCTCATCGTCAGTTCTCGCCTACCAAGCATGATCCAACGGATTCCTACGCTGGAGGAGCAATGGAAAGGAGGGGAAATAACCAAGAACTTACGGCGATATGTCCCAGGAACAGCGCCGCGATGATCACACCATCATCATTAACGTCTCGTTGTCGAAAACGACGACGTCCACCAGGACTACGGTCACGATCTTCTCCCCCTCCGCCGCCGCCGGGATCCTCGTCTTGTGCAGCCATATGCTGACGCAGCTTGGAGAGGGCGACCTGGACCAGACGAAGCACCTCCGCCGAAGGAGGACGTTTGTTGTTTCTGGCGTTGTTGTTGTTGCTGCCCCCGCGGGAATTCGACCGGAAGACGTCGCGCACCATGTTGACCACGGCCACACCGGCGTGCAAGGCCACCTCGTGGGTCATGAGGTCGTAGTAGCTCTGTCCGCGGATAGAGGTGAGCTCGATATAGCAATACTAAACGCCCCGGATTTCGTAACATGGAATCCACAATCCCCTGCACCGGCATGCACGAGGATAGATAGCCCAACGCATGTACACCTGCAACTCAATCACTTACCTTGGCAAACGTATTGCTCACGTCGAAGATGTGGAATACCGGCGCATGCACCAGATCCGGCCGGACGGTACTGTCTGCGCCCGCTCGGGTCGCGACGACCCAGTCGTCAGCAAGCCGTGGCAACTTTGAAGAACCAGTCCAATCAATCCAAAAAGGTTTGGAATTAGGTAAGGGGCGGATGCTCTATACAAAAGCATCCCGTCTGCTCTTTCCATTGAGAAACTCACAGAACTCAGCCGCGGCAGGGAATCCAGGAGAGTCGCGGTGCGGGACGCCCGGGAGGATGTCGACTGCACGGCTCGGCGGGGGGGATTGTGGTTCGAACCGGTGAAGAGGGCTGGAATATGTATCACGAACTCGAACAAGTTCTTGTCTGCTGGTGGTTGTGGTGGTGGTGGAGGTGGTAGTAGTATTCGGCGTATTAGTAATAGTATCTTCCTCCGCCACCTCCTCCTCTTCTTCTTCCTCTTCGTACAGCTTCCTTCCGCTCCCCATCGACGGCTTGGGCAAGAGCTTCCGCCCTCCCCCCAGCCCAGCAGCCCGGGTCTCGAACGCCTTGACCTGGACGGCCCCGTGTCTCTTGCGGTGAAACGCCATGGCGGCGTGCGAGCGCGCCTGCGAACTGATCCGCCTGGGCTGCTGGGGATTGCGGGCCTGATAGTAGTACATGCCCGGCGTGTTGACCAGGAAGAGCAAGTCGAAGTCGGCGGCCATTGTTCGCGGACTGTTGGTTAGGGGGTCTAGTTCTGACCGTTGGGTTTTGTTGGTCCTGTTTTAATATAGATGGATGTGGTTCTGGGGATGTTTTCTTTGCCCTCATCGACGAATGGCGAGAGTCGCGCGCGAGTTGTGGGTGGGTGACGGTGGCTGGGCGGCTCGTTCTCAGCAGCTCGTCCTGACTGAGTGACTAGGCTCGTTGGTTTCTTTCGATTGACGGCAAGAGATTGTTGGATACCCAAATGCTCCAGACGTTCTCATGCTGTCGTTGCGTAAAACCTCGGCGCACGAATCTTCGACTCGCCCCAATCTCAGCCGGCTCTTCGATCGCAGATATGGACTTGGTTCGCGACCGAGGTCTCTTGGAGGGGAGGAACCGTCTCGTATTCGCTAGCTCGTCCTCGACGGTCTTTCAAGCTGAAGTAGACAGGGTTCGAGATTGCCAGGTCGGTCCATCAGCCCTTTGGACCTCATTGGAGTCACGCTGCCAAAGAAACTGGGTTAGTCAGCGGGCGAGCCCAGGTCGAACCCTAATGGCCGTGTTGAGGTTGATACCGCAGTATAGCCGAATGGCAACAAGCTTGTGGGAGGCAAGAGAGCGGAGGAGAGGATAGATATAAGGGTGGCCACGTGCGAGTTGGTGAAATGGTCTACGATATCCCGGATGATCGATGTAATATTCACTTATTATTATGATTTTCTTTTGAGATATCGGCGGCCTATTTTGGCCCTGGCATCGTGATAGGGGGTCCTGAAGCCCACAGTATGACATTGGCAAAAACAATATAGTAGACCCTGAACGCCGATGCTCGTCATGAACGGACAAATCAAGTCGACAGTCGCGAACTCATGTCCCTGTATGAGACCTTGGCTCCGAGACCCCTCGAGCGGATAGATGATCTCGAGCAGTAGAGGCATCGCGGATACTAGAGCACTGGCATATGGTCTCCATCACTGACTCCCTGATCTCCTGCTGTGGGAGAGTCCATTGCCGTTCCCATTCCCGCCACCTTTTGGTCCTCCCGTGTTACCCGCCGCAGACGTTGCTCCAGTCCCACCTCCGACCGTCGAGGGATTGTTGTTCATGACTGCGGCGACAAGGCTTGCGGCCGGGCCACTTTGTCGACCTGGCCGACGACCTCCGCCAGCATGGGAATTGCTCCCCTTGAGTGCCTCCTCAATGTAATATCCGAACACAAAGCGGTATAGATCTCGAAGCCACCCAAAGCCGTATACACAGCTTGTCATCCCTCGAACGGCTCGCGCGAGTTCGACTGCATTGATCCGTCCCTGCTCGGCAATTGTCCCGGCGACGCCTAGGCTGCGGAATGTGCTGTCATTTGCGATGGTCTTACGGTAGTTATCCAGAAGCGAGACTTGCCACGCCAGAGTGCCAAATGCGGTGTCAGGCAAGTTCCTGGCGAAATTGGGCAGCGAGTTCATGTTAGGGTCTGTCGAAGCCCGGGTGTAACCTCGGCCAGTGGCCAGGGCAGCCTTGACAAACAACGTCTTGAGAAGTATCAGAGTCGGATCCTCGGCGGGTGTACGAACAGTCGAAACCGTGGTTGCAGACATGGGATTTGGACCCCCTTCTGAGGCGGCCGAAACAGGAACCGAAAGAACCGACGAGGTCGTGGACCATCTGTGATTAATTGCTGAAGTTGGGCCTTGATTTGCAGAATGCGGATTACGTGGCTGAGTGGGCGGATTCGGTGACAGTTGTCTGCTTTGATTAGGCGCCGGGGTGGACGAACTTGAAGAGGTAGAGGACATTCTGGATGCTTCCTCGGCCCCGAGCACGAGAATATTGGGAACAGGAGCTTCGTCCGGTGAGATGGTGGTAACCGTGTCCTCGAAAATCGTGGTCGGTGTCTCGGGAAGTACTCTCGGGTTGCCGTTCTCGTCCAACGGAGCGAAACCAGATCGTTTCGCTTGGTTGAACGCCTGGGTGAAGGTCGTTTGGCTTGGCCGTGGCGTTCCACGTTCAGGGCGAATCTGCGTCCAGCCTTCGCGGAACAGGTCGCACAGCTCCCAGCACGCTTGGATTGCTGAGCCGAGGAGCTCTTCGTCGGGCCTCTTGCCTTCCCTGCGGTTTTGCCTCAGGCTAAACAGCATTTCCGCCAAAGACCAGCACGCACGAAGGAGGGAATCCGTCTCGTCTGCCATCTTCGACTTCTGCTTCATCAGCCGGTGGCACAGAGTGATATAGAAATCCAACGTCCTCTCCCGGAAAGCTTCAGGGAGACTGCGATCATGCGTATTAAACAAATGGTTGTTCAACTCAAAGCTGACCCGGAGGACAGAGTCGGCCGTCTCGTTATCACGCACGCGGACCTCGAACAGCGCCTGGCAGAAGTCGCGACAGAGATCAAGGGTCGGTCGAGACGAGTTGTGAGAGAAGGTTTGCGACAAATGGCTATCTCGAGTGTCGTACAGGTTCTGGCACAGCTTCCAGCAGGATTTCCACGCTTGCTCCTGCATGTCGCCGCGGCCCGAAAAGTTGAAGATTCTCTCACGGTGAATGTGGCTTAAGCTGGCCAATGTGTTGCACAACGTCCAGCACTCGGATAAGGCATTGCGGAGGGCTTCGATTTCAGCTTCGGCATCACGTAGGAACCGTTGGCCGAGCTGACTTTCGTCCCCGGTCTCGTCGGTGCTGGGGTGGTCAGTGTCATCGCCCTCGAGAATGCCTACAAAATGTCAGTAACCAGGGATGTGCCAAGGAGCGGTTGGCCTCACTGGCAAGACTAGAGCCAGGACGGCTGAGGGAACTGAGGTCCTGTCTTGTCTGTGCTCTCGGAGTGCGCGACCAGTCATGTAGAGGGAGCGAAGGAAGAGATGTTTGCAGCGGCGTTGGAGGCATCGGAGCCTCATGGGTCTGCAGCTCTCGGGTCAGTACTCTCGACACAGCAGAGCGCGCGCTTGCTGCTCACCTTGGCGCCTGATCTAGTCGCCGGCGGTTTGGTGACGGTAGATCCTGAAGCCACTGAATCAGTGGAATCCGCCCTTGCTCTTTCAATGTCCTTGGTTTCTCGTGTTGGAGGCTCTCCCGCAATGGCCTCTTGTGGCTCTGCTTGCTCTTTCTCGGGGTACGACTGAGTAACCTCCTGGGTTGGCTAAGTGCAGATGTCAGTAAACGCCAGCAGCGCCTGCAAACACTTCTCCATGATATTGGACATACAAATTTGCCAAAGCCTGTCGGTATATGGATAACAGATTGAGGCTCCTTCTCCTCTTCCAGTCGTGCGCGGAAGTGTTCGTCCAGAGAAGGACCCGTGTCGACCTAGGTCTATCATCAACCCACGATTATTTCCAGTATCGGTGTCCACTCATCATACCCGCAATGGAGTTGCAATATGTTGCAGACCCTCCCTCAATGGAGAAGTGAACGATGGCCTCTGTGCGTCATTGAAAGCCACAGGACCTGCGGTCACTGAGCCTCTTTCTGTGCCCTCCTCTTCCACTTCTTCATCCACGTCCTCAAAGTTGGTCACGTCCGAAGCCACAGGCGAGGGCGCCACGGGATCTTGGGGCGAAGTAATATAGTTGGCAGGTGGAGGTTTAAGCTGATTGTCAGTTGTTGTACTGATAGCAGAAGCAGCAGGAGACCTGGCCCAAGTCAGATCCATTTCGTCCACACTTGGAAATTGGACAACCCTACATGGGGAGACCAGAGTTCGCAGCTGTCCGAGGTCGAGGCGAATCCGGATGGTCTGGAAAGGGCGAAAATGGGGAGAACAACGGATTCGTCGAAGGACTAAACCCCAGAGGCGCTCTCACGGCCATCATCTTTCTCTGCTAACCTCAGCGGCCTGCGGCACAGTCGGCCACGATCGCGAGGTCGATCTGCACCAGCAGAGAAAGGGAAGATGCGTGGTGGCGGAGTATGATGGGCAACTGGAGGGCAGACAAGACAGACGAGGCAGACTACTGTCAAGCGCTGATAGAATTGCCCGATGTTTGGTAGATGCCGCAAAGCGTCGCACGGCTACTGTTGCGGCCGCCTAAACGGTCGCGTGTGCGGCACAGCAGGTTGGCCCAGGGATATTCAGAATCGAGAAAGATGGTTGTATAGAAGCGTGTGGTAGGAGGAGACACAATGCGCCCGGTCATGGATAAGCAAACACGGCACAGCACATGGTCATGGTCAATGAGCAATGATACCACTGGCACCAGGACGTGTTGGACAGTAATTGGAAGACACTCAAGAGTCCAAACTATGTCGATGAAGAAAGAGGGTCCCAAGCAATGGAGGGGGGAGAAAAACTTGAGAGGGCGGAAATGGTACCTGGTCTGTTGGTGGAGGCCTGATGTTAAGTGTTGGCGTATGGCATATCAGAATACCGAGAGTGAAGCATCTGATTCGATCAACCGTGCATTGTAAGGCCCACGATGCTGGCTATACCTCTGTTGGGTTAGGAGATGGCACAATGGGGGAAACAGAGAGAACACGGATGAGGAAGCCAGGTCTGAATACGGGTGTGGTGTGTGCGTGTCAGAGACACAGAGCGATGCTGGAGTCCAAGACTCGCGCCGCGCCTAGCTCGTGAGCTGGGCCAGGGGTACCAAGAATGTGATGCTAGGGTCAACGGAGAGAGACCGGCGGTTTCAGGAGGTGCAGCGCGTCGAGGACGAGGTATGAGTGGTAGGAAGAGGTGAAGATGGGCAAAGTGGAACGAGGTCGAGTGCAATGCGAGATTCTGCAAAAGGCCAGGCGATCCACCCTGACAGCTCTTCTCCATCCATCCACCTTGTCCGGAGGGGATATCCAGGTCGCCGGAGAATTTGTGAACCAGCAGGTTGGAGCGCAGAGGAGGAGCTAGGGCAGCCGGGAGGGCCAGATGGAGAAAAGGCGAGAACCTTGGACAGCCTGTAACAGGCAGATGGCCCCCCGTCTGCCACGCGACAGCGCCAGCAGCAAAGCCCGAAAGCTTGGAGTGTGATGAAAATGTAACTCAGGTGCATCAAGCTCGCAGAAGCGTGGAAAATGATCACCGCTGGAGGGCAGCGGCGCAGTCGACGATTCGATGGAGAGGGTCTGAGAGGGTCTGAGAGGTGTAGGTTCGCAGCCAGGTGGAGCGCAGGCAGAGGGTTAAGCGCCGACACAAGGGAAAGGAGGGTGCGGGAGGCAGGGAGGCACAGGCACCCGGCGACATCGGGGTTGACAAAGAGAGGTTGAAGTTGAGGTGCTAGAGTGAGAAGAAGGAAAGAGAGTGACAAATGGGTGGGAAAAGATGCAACTGGGGTGGAGGGCGGGGCGGATGGAGGAGGAAGAGAGAGCCAGCCACAGATACCAATCACATGTCACACAAACACGCAAAGCACTTGTCCAGCTGCAAGTAAGCGCCCGGGCTTCTAGAGACCGGGTCTTTAACTGGTGGGAGGTGCATGAGCAACTTAGGTGGAGTAGATAGAGGGTGGTGGTGGTGATGGTGGATGGAGGGGGTTGGATTGGGGGCACAGAGATACGAGTAGTAGGTAGTGAGCCTTACCGAGTAGGTAGCTTAAAGGCCACAAAGTCACTGGCCTAGGTCCTACATACCCTTGTAGATAGCCTACGAGTCCCTACATATTCTGCCCACAGAACTAGGCAGTCTAGGGACTAGGGTCCCCGTGCGGAGTATCTCAGACCTACTCGGAGAGCTGACACCCTGTACGTACTGGAAAGCCCATGTTCCATAACTTCAAGCCAACGAGAATCATTCATACATACACACGAGGTGACTAGTACACATCCTCGTCAAAAGGTAAGAGCCGCATCATGACCTTCATGTCTCTTACTAATGCCTTCGTTCCGTGGCCCCCAACAACACCATGCAAAATGAACAAGATGAACCATCCCGGTCGTCATTAACTGTCCTTTCCCGTTGAAGGAACCATTGATTGACCCAGGCAAGGACCCGGCTCTGTGGATTTATCGAATGGTCATCTGCTTGGCCATTGCGCCGCCTTTGCCGACGCCGCCCTCCCTTGACGCTGCCGCACTGACGCCCGCTTTCCGCTCAAAGATCTTCCAAAACTTCAAACTTTCATCGGCCGCTGTGAGTGCTCGTTAGCCCGTGTCGCCTCGATACTAGTAGGAAACCTTGCAAACTCACCTGCCGTTGCCAGCATCTGTCCGTCGGGACTGAGGCAGCTGTGAAGCACTCGAGTCTCGTGGGCGGGAATCTCCACATTTCGCACCAAAGTCGGATAGCTCCAGATGCTCAGGGAATTGTCTGGGAAGCCGCTGGAGCTGACCAGTTCGCGGTAGTGATTGCTCCATTTGAGACTTGTCACTTGTGATCCGGTGTCGATGCTGTTGACTCGGGCCCCCGTCGTCGTGTTCCAAAAGTGAATGTGTCGGTCGTACGACCCGCCACCAGTTGCCAGGAGGTTCAATTGCCAGGGGCACCAGCTAAGGGCCTTGACCGCCGCGCGGTGATTCTTTTTCGCAAACTTGGGAGCGGCCAATGAGCGGGCGTCCCAGATGGACACCAAGTTGTCGTTCCCACCCGTTGCCAGCTGCGCGCCATCACTGCGCCATTCCAAGCCACACACTTCCGACGTGTGGGACACCAGCTCGGCAACCTTATGCTGGGCAACTCGGACGTCATGGTTGAAGACGAGCCCACTTCTTGCCCCTGTTGACAAGGTGTGCTTGTTCCATCCCATCACACCTACCCGAGTTTCATGCCCGAACATGCTCCGGAGCTTGGTCCCTTCTTCGACGTCCCAGATCTGGACTTCCCCGGAACCGAGGCCCACGCCAACATAGGCGCCGTCGCCCGACCATTTGACACTGCTGACATAGGTGTCGGGCGAAGTCTCCAGAAGGCAGGAGACGGTGCCACTGTCGGCAGACCAGACATAGACATTGCGCTCTAACCCAATGGCCACCTGGTTGCCCGAACTCCAATCGAGCAGATTCAGGTAGTAGTCGTCGACCAGGCCAGGTGCATCCAACACTCGCTCAGGTGCGGATTGGATGCGGCGACGGAACTGGGCAGACTGAGCATTGGCTGGCTTCAGTGGGCGGTTGTATTGAGATCGGAGATCAATTGGCTTGGATGATTCCGGAGGAGCAGGCTTGAATTCAAGGATTCGCTGGCTTGTTGAGATGCCACAGGCAGAAGCTAGTGATGATTCATAGGCACTGGAGTCGGGGTTGGTACGAGTAGTGTAGGTTGAGGTGGTGTTGTCATCCTCCAGACCAAGACCTTCTAGTGCGGTGGTGATATCTGCATCCGCACCCCGCGCAGAGATCTCAAAGGCACTGGCACTTGCAGCGTTTGCTAGGACTATTGATCCATCCACTCCCGCAGTTCGAGGTCGAGTGTTCTCGTCTGCCTTGCCAGACCCAGCAGTTGCCAGGCCCGCACTTGCAGCTCTGTTGGGAATGAATCTGTCTGCGGTGTTGTTGGGGAGTCTGATGGTGGTCTTGCCTGTCCTCGACCGTAGCACCGTCTCTTTCCTTGACTTTTCTCTCGATGGTGTGGCACTTGTGTTTGGCCCGGTGCCTGTCAACGTCCAGTCTGAGACACCTAACTCTAGTTGCTTTGGTGACTGCCGTCCCTTGGCAATATTGGACTTGGGCGAATTGGCATAGGCAAACTTGGATACCGATCTGGAGATGGAGCGAGAGAAGAATGCGGAAGGATCTGACTTGTGAATTGACTGTTCTTTTCGCAGAGGAGTGGAGGGGGAGGAGGCGGTCGACATGTTTGTGGCAACGCTTGCAGTTCTCTGCCTGGGAGATGGGGTGAGGGGCATTCTACCACCTGCGGTCTTTGTGGAGAAGAGGCCATGATGGCTTTTGAGAGGTGTTGACACTGAGGCTGTTGCCATGGTGTCTAGATGTGTATGTTTTTGATCGAACGGACAAATCAATGTTTCGATCAGGGTCTGCTGTTGAACCGAGAATCAATCAAGACCTCGGGGGGTTAGTAGTGGTTGTCGATTAAGCAATCAGAACTAGTCGAGAAAGTATCTGTGCCTGGGTCCAGCAATTCAGTGATTATCTCAAGATGCTCAACTGAATGGATCCTGAGAAGCTGTCGGTAGTTGTTAAGTTAGTAAGTCTCAGTGTCGCTGAAATTGTTGGATGATTGGGTAACCGAGCGGTGTTCGTGGCACGGCAAGGCGATGCAGTCGGGGGTTCGACCAAATCTAGCAGATGCGAGTGTGATCTAATGGACTGTATGCTATGCACATGCAAGGATGTATGCGTAGAGGAGGGAGATGTGGATGGAGGAGCGGGAGTATGGTATAGGAGAGAGAAAGAAGAGTTCTTCAATGATCGGTCCCAAGTTGCAGTTGAAGTACTTTCCAGTGTTGGTGGGGATGTCTGCCACGGCAACGGCGACCCACAATCCACTAAACCCTTTGTGGCACTAGTCTCGCCGTCGCCCGTCAGTAACGACTATTCCGTCAGCGCCAAGCAAGGAAACTAGGAAGAATATTAATCCGATCCGCTTGCGCCGGGCGTCAAACATCCTGCAACCTGAAACTTTCGCCGATCATTTTTCATCTTCACTCCCTTTTCTGCAATCCTCTGGTCATGTCCATCTCATACCACACACGACGATCGCCAGCAGAGCTTTGATATTCAAGCCTGGCTTCAACCACTTGGATGAGCCTACGGGCTTCTTCAGCCCCCAATCTGCTCCTTCATGAAGTTGACCAAAGCTTTTAGACCAAGCCCCCGGTCCTAACCAAAAAGCCTCTCGCCGTAAACGCCGAAGCCTCAGTTAATCTTATGATGGCCCAGCCTGAGACACCACCACAAAATCCTCCTTACCCTGCGCCTACTGTATCGTTCACTTTTGGTATCTCCGCTCGGGCTCCTGGTTCTGGTGCCAACACTCCCACAGCCAACACCTACCTTATGCCGACCAGTCCGGCTAAGAACCCTGCCGGCATGAACAACGCCCTGAAACCAAGAATCACCAAGAGCACCGGACAGAAGCCGGCTTGCCTGGTTAATGCATCAGTCACCTATTGCGGAAACGACCAGATCTACGCCTTTGGCGGCTTCGACCAATTTACGGATGAGGTCTACAATCACGTGCTTCGGCTGGATCTGAAAACGCTAAATTGGGCGCTAGTAGATAATTATGGAGATATCCCCGGGGTGCGGATGGGGCATTCAGCATCGCTTTACCAAGGCGACAAACTGCTGGTCTATGGTGGAGAAAATGAACATCGGGAATATCTGTCAGATGTGGTCATCTTGAACCTGAAAGACCATCACTGGACCCAACCCGATGTCCAGGGTCCCATCCCCAAAGGCAGAGCCAGACACGCCGCGGTCGTTTACGAGGACAAATTGTTCGTCATCGGAGGGCTGACCGGAGAGGCCAATTATATTCTTGACGATATATGCTACCTGGATCTGAAGACGTGGACATGGTCCAAAACATGGAGTTTCGTGCAGAGGTTCGATCACTCTGCCTGGATATGGGGAGGTCGACTATGGGTGCTAGGAGGTCTGGGCGCCGATATGGAACGCGCCTCAGAGATTTGGTGGCTGGATCTGAAAGGAAGTCCGGCTTTGAATGGTTCTGGCAGGCCGTACTCTACCGTGGGCCGCGTCCCCGCTACCAGACATGAAGGCATACCGCATCCCAACCGCGCTGACCGAATCGACATATACACCGCGAACTCGGGCAGTATACACATTCGATCGACGAGGCGGGAGAAGCCAGTCGCACCCGGTGCAATATCGTCGTTGAAATTTGTTTCTGGCCCTCATGTCCCTCTCCAATCGTCCGGCACGCACTTCCACGTTTGCTCGTCTGGCGCTTTGCTAGACTTTGTCACGCCAGCATCGACTATTCGTCATAATGAATGCAACCTGTCATCCCTCGAGCTGGACTCGTTGAGATGGCAAAGATTGGTCGAAGGTCCCGAGTTATTCCAACCAGGCTACAAATGGCATTACTGTACAATCAATGAGGATGGAACCAAGGTCTGGTTGCTTGGATCCTCTGGAGACTATCCTACTGAGCCCAATCAAGAGCTGCAACTGAGCGAGGTTTTGGCAGTCGATCTCAAACGGTACGGTTTGCTCGGCAACCTTGACTCCTCCTTCGCATCTGAGCAGAACCGCATCCTGGCCTCCGAACGGCAGACAACACACACCGCTCCCGCTGGCGGTTTGGGATCTGGCCTCGGCTCCGATCTCGCCATGACATTTGACCAACCCCCAGAATCCGGCAGCATGAGCGACTTCATCATCACGGCGAACAACATCCCTGCGGATGAGGACGACAACGTTTCGGAAGCTGATTCTCAAATGCGATTCTCCACCAACACGACTAGCAGTCAGGTATTTGTCTCTGAAAGCTCTGCTGTGTCGCCACCGATCCATGTTCACAAAATGATACTCCAAGCTCGCTGGCCACACTTCAAACGTCTCTACGCTTCAAAAATGATTGAATACCAGACTTCGCGCTTACACATCCCTGAGCCATACTCGGTTGTACGCGCGTTTCTGTACTACCTGTACACGGACAGCATTGCGCCGCACCCTGTGTTCTGCCGTGACCTCACAGACGTCGCCGGCATGCTCGTAATGGCGAACCTTTATGACATGCCGAAGCTCCGCCTTCTGTGCGTGAACCGCCTGTCGCGCGAGATTGACATTGAACATGCCGCCGTAATTTGGGAGCGCGCAGGACGTACTGAGGAAGAATGGCTGAAGCAGCGCGCCGCCCGCTTCTGCATGACGAACTTCGGGCGGATCGTACGTACCGAGGGATTCAGGAGCCTGAGTCGGCAGTCTCTGATGGAGCTTTGCGAGGTGGTGGGGATGGAAGGGCGCGTGGTTGATGGTGATGAGATGGATGACGCCGATGGCGGGTTCATGCAAGGTGGGGGCCTTAGTGGGCGATATCGACGAAGGAGTCATCGACCCAGTGGGGAGGCGGACGAGACAGAGGGGGATGACGATGACGGGATGGACATGAACTGATTTCCATCGTCCTGCCTTTCCGATTGACGCAACGGGATCTTCTTGGTTCAACGCAGACCAAGAGAGCTTGAGACCCAACGGGCCCAATCCAGCCGCGAAGCACACCAAGATGTTCAATTCATCAACACGAGAAAAGGGACATTAACCCCCAACTTCCAACCCTGACGAGGTTCGAACTTTCATTCTTCAGCAAGAGTTTTTACCGCGTTGTTACGGCAGATTTTATGCAGGGTTTTGAGGCGAAGCATGGTCGGAATAACGAAATGTGTTCCACACACACAAAAAAAGAGGAAGCCTAAGGAAGGAAGGAATCTAGGAGCCCAAAACATGAGGCATAGCGAGGATACAGAATCTGTCAGGAATGGCGAATACCGGATGGTGGACACTGTACGGGGACCGGGTTGGGATGGGATAGGATGGGCTGGTTCGGGTCTGAGTAAAGGAGCGAGGCTGCATGGTGCTGTATAGGTATGCATGTAGGTAGGTGCGTTAACATACGTAACTACCGCGACTTGTAGCCAGCTATGTAGGCAAGCATGTATGAGCTACGGATGGCATTATTCTTGACACCAAGCAGATAAGCCGTGAGGGTTGGTGTTGGTATCGCATGCTTCGCCCCAATTTTTGACCGACTGCTTCGTGTCGCGTCGTTCTCTTTCTAGTACATGTATACAAATACAGCCTCGAAAAGCCCTATCCTAATCCCATTCGAGGATCGGCATGCGTCCGAGGGGCGGCCCCAAGGTGGCCAAGGGCAGACTGCACAGTGCGGAGGTCAAGTCAGGTCTGCGCTGCATCTGTTTGGTTTTGCTGTGCTGGGTCTCCATCATCACCTGTTTCCTGGCCGGAGCCCATCCCTTGGATGTTACTTCTGTTCATCCTCGCATCTCGTACAATGGACGAAGTTGCCAGGTAGTCGAGTTCGAGCCGACGCTTCAATGCATTTGGATCAAGCCTCCCAACCTGCAAGACGTTGTTCTGCCTGCTTATCGTGTTTTCTCGAGCCTGCTGTCCAAATGTTCTGCGCTAGCAGATCCTGTTTTCGCGAAGCCTCCAAGGCTTCGATGTCGTGGTTGTCATGTTCCCGTACCGACTGGTCCAACCTATCTCTTCTTTCCTCCGGGTCTCGGTTTAACCTCTTCCGGCTGCACCCCATGCAACATAATCTTATTTGGGGTTTGAGGTGTATTCTTTTGATAACCTTGACTCCAATCGTAGCATACCGCATACGCAAACACTGTCCCTTGCCTATTGAATGCTGTGGCCGTGATTGGCGCGCCCACTGCTGGATAACCCTTGAGACGATGTTTCGCATTACCGTCCCAGAAGTGGAAAGTTCCATCGCTGCCTGCCGTCGAAAACGTTCCATGTACGGGGTGAAAAGAGATGGCGTTGACAGCATAGACGTTGGCAACGTCGCGATTGGGACCAGTGGCGGAGGGTGTGTCGCGGTGGCATTTGAAGCTGAAGTTGTTGTCGGCGGCTTTTTCTTCCACATATTGGATTGCACATCTGCCCTCGATACTGCCCACCGCGAAGCCCGTGGCATCTGTGAAGCAACTAACCACTCTAGTCTGGAATTTCAGCGGAGACTGTACCGACTTGTAAAATTTCTCGGGCGAGTTAAGGTCGACAATATTGATATATCTGTCTGCAGTGCCAATGACCAGAAGCTTGTTCTTGACATCCATCGTGTAGACTCGCTCTTGACATTGTAATGTTGCGACCGGGTTTGGGGTTCGCAGATCCCAGTATTTGACGGTTCGGTCCCACGAGCCGGTAATGAGAATGGGCGAGTTATTGATAGTGGCGAAGCGACACGCTCGGACGGGCTGTTCGTGAGCGACCAGAGTCTGCGGAGTCATATTGCCCGATCCCAGGTCAAGGAGCCGAAAAGTCTTGTCGGCACCGCAGCCTGCGACTTTTTGTCCGTCCTAATGTACGGTTAGCATATCGCCCCAGGCGAATCATACTGCGACAGAACTAACCTCTGACCATGCGCAACCCAAGACCGGGGCGTCAAAATCCATAGCAGCCTTCCCCTCGCTCTGCCCCTGCTCGTTCACTTGGTATATCCGGACCTTTTTGTCCCATGACGAGACCGCGAGAAAGTCGCCCTGCGGCGAGAATGCGAGATGAGATGTGCTGTCCTCTGGCGGTTGCACCAAAGCGACATCCTTTGACAGATCTCCGGTGGTGCTTGTGGTGGCAGCCGCAGCGGGTGATGATCCAAAGAGCGTGGACATCTTACCGAGCTATGGCGCGGAAGCTTCAGAGGTGGTTTCAACAGGGTATTGCAAGCAGCAGGAGCCGGGCAAGAGGTTATCTATTGAGCGAGAGTCGAGTAGATGGTGGCTAGCACGAACAGGCAGGAATTCGGTGCGGCCAACGCGTTGAACATCTCAAGTTTCGAAACAGCGCGACGGCAACTTTCGACCGCCGTTTCCCACGCCAAGGCTGCGGACATCGAGTCCACGTCCGTATTTGGAAGTACTATGGCGCCGCCCTACAAATAGACTGTGAGTCCTTTACGGCAGCGTCGGATGATGCCTGTTTGAGCGCAACAGATTAAATTGGGCCTAGTGCAATTCAGCATCCACTATCGGATCGATGTTCGACTGTTAAGCTAGAGCAGAAGATTGTTAGATGCCTTGGGGCGAGTATCATTGAATGTTGTATTGAACATGGAAAAGTGAGCCTCAAGCAATCAGCTTATCAGGAAAGCCAGGCAAAAAATGCTTCGACGTAAGAAGCATGTCATGATCGGCTGGGATAGGCTAATTTGCTTTGAAGCAGGCGACGGGAAAGTCTGGTCTGGCCACCTAATCGTTCACGAGGAGAAAGAAGTTATTGCTTCCTTTGTCAGACGCAAGCCGCCATTGTATCCGTCCATGTGTGTCAAACCCGCAGAATGCGTCGCAGCTCACGACAGTGTCGTCTACATGCCGCTACGGCAACAGAATGTAGGCGACATGGAGGGATTCGTGGAAGCAATGTTTACTTCTCTACGTAAGCGTCTCGGCACCCGATCAGATACGGAATGGTACTTAAGATGTGCACCAGTGGCATTATCATGGCACTCGTCTTGCGGAAGACTTACTAGTGAGAGAACACGAGGACAGATGAGGCGCCCTCCATTAATGGTGAGGAGGCTTTTGAAGAGAGATGCAAGCAGCAGGAATTCATAGATTGAGGGATATGAGAGCTTCTCGGCACTACAATATATGGTGGAATAGAAACAGAGGGAGACTGCTGCTTTCATCGATCAGTATTGGCCGCATCCGGGTCGGAGACCAGGGTGCACCATGCACGAGGCTGAGGGATTCGCCTCGCCCCATTTTGAGACCGAGTCCACGACATCCGTTGGAACGACCTAGTAAACGCCGACCCTGGCCTCAATTGAAGGTGCAGTACTTCAGCTTGTCCTCGTCACCTTCATTGATCTCTTTCCTGTCGCATTTTCTTGCTTGCATACATTACCGCAGGCTAGTGACTGCTGCCCTAGCCAGCCTGTACCACACCAGCTTTTACCTCGATCACTACCTCGTCCCTTCCATTCCTTCACACCTCTCCCACCTCGATGAATTCCAATACAAGAAGAGGCAATCACAGACACCTGCGCGGCGCCATGCCACCTGAGACTTCATTCCGTGGGTACCCCGGCAGCAGAGCAATCATGTATCTGTGTAAGCTATCCCTTCCACTCCCCCACCAGGAGGAAAACTAGCTGCTGTTGTTGCGGTGGAAGACGTCGCAACTAGAGACGGCTGATTCTGGTCCATTCCACACAGGTATCGCAACCTGCGTCTGTGTCTGGGCAGCGTGGCATTGGAGCATGGGAGACCTGCAGACCGAGGGTCTTTGGAAAGACTCTCCCAGCCTCGAGCAGCGACAGACGCTGCACAGCCTGAACAAGCACTTCACAGTCAAACTGGCCGACATTAAGCAAAAAAGATGGTGGACTTTGATAACCCCAGCTTTTAGCCATATCCGACTCGACCACATTGTTGGGAACCTGATGGCCTTTTCCGAATTTTCGAGGATGCTACTGGTATCTGGGATTGGTCCCCTGCGGTATGGGTTGCTCATTCTCGGCTCCGCTATTTCAGCACATCTTGCATTCTTATACCATGCTTCCCGGCGGCGTCCACCCCCGTGGTGGTGGGCCTTACTGATGCCGCGCATAGAGTTACGGGCACTTGGCCTGTCGGGCGTGGTCATGGGTCTGGGTGCCGCGCTATTTCTGGCGGCTCCTAAGATCAGAGTGGATGTTTCGAGGACACAGTCGCTGCCAGGCTGGCTGCTAATGGTGGTGTACATCGTCTACGACGCTTCCAGGCTGGATGACTCGTCTTCGGAGGTTGCGCACGCAGCACATCTGGGCGGGGCCGCCTTCGGAGCCGTCTTTTATTTCCTCGCCTTGCGAGGCAGTACCGCGCTGCCATACTTATGGCTTTTGCAAGAGTAAGAGTATCAATATTCTGATGGGCGGACGGTTGGAGATTTGCCTGATCCAAAGGAGCGGCAGCTTGCCGGTATGGATCAAATAAGGGGGAATGTCTTCTTGATTCAATGTCGGTGGTGAATCAAGTGTGCAAAAGGGACAAAGGATAAACCAAGAGCAACTTCGAGGTATTTAGCGGTTCGGAAATAAACCTTGCACGAGCACAAGGGCAATAAGTATCAACTTTTGGCAGCAACCTTGGGAAGGCTGAAAGCTTAAAGAGAAGAGCTGCAGCCGGGTCAAGTCACAACTGTGGGATTTTCTACACAGTATATAGATAGTTAGTGGCCAATCGATGAGCCTGAGCGTAGCTTTTACTCGTCTAGCTGAGGGAAACAAACGAAGAACTGTTGGTCCAAGGCATTCCCATCAAGTTGCCCCAATCAAGCCAAGGCATTTCTTACCAATGGCACTCCGGTATACTTCTGAACCAAGGGCATTGCACTTTCCAAGATGAGTGACGAAACTCCTCTAACCTTCTAGACAATATGTCTCTCATCCCGTCTTCTTCGCGATCCTAAATTCGTCCCCGAAGGGTCTTCCAATACAACGGGGGTAAGTGTTCGTACTCTATAGACCATGAGACCCTGACAAGTCGAGAGATTGTGGCTTCATCCATGTACAGTGTGCTGGCGCCGTCTCGCAGGAACGCCTAGATGGCGTGAAAGTATCCATCCTCATCTGGACCGTCGCCTTCGAACTCATCTTCACCCTCCCCCTCCCCTTCGCCTTCGTCTTCAAACTCGCCTTCCTCCCCGAAATCATCTTCTCCGTGGCCCTCCTCGTGAGTCGCGAAATGCTCTGTGCCTTCTTCCTCCTGGGGATCGAAGGCCTCGTGGGAATCATCCTCCGCCGCCCCAAATTGCTGCCCCGGGTGGCCTTGCTGGGTTGGGGCGGCGGAGTGGCTCTGACCCTGGGTGCCGTGGGCTTGCACCGCCTGCAGGAGCTGCCTCTCGTACTCGATCGAGTCCTGCGTGAGCGGCGGCAGGTCCGGGATGCCGGCCTGCGCGAAGGCCTGTCTCACCTGCCGGTCGAACTTGGCCTGGCCGGCCGGGTTTGTGGGGAGAGGCGGAGCCTCCAGGCCTCGACTGTGGAGCACTTCGACCGCCTGCTGATTGAGGCTTGCCTGTGCGTTGCGCTGGGCCTGCGTGTCCAGGTCATCCTCGCCTCCTTCATCCTCGTCATCGTCGTCGCCCAAGTCTGCCGTGGGGTCAAAGTCGAGAGGATCTTGCGGACGCCTCGCGGTGGGGTTTGGCGCCGTCGAGCCCGACGGCGCTGGTGCCGCGGTTCTCTCGGAGACGGTAAACGACAAGAACCCGTCGGTCGACGTGTTCGGCCTGTCGTCGTTGAGTGAAGTGGGCGCTCCCCTCCCGTTGGCCTCCGCATACGCCACCGCGAAGAACCGCCCGCCGCCCTCGAAGAGCACCGAGTGTGCCAGAAACACAAAGTTGGTCGCCGAGACTGGAGAGTCGCCCTGGTATAGCCGGCTCGGGGGTTGCTTTTGCAGCTTGTGCGGATTGGGGACTTGCTGGGTATATGTGATGGTCCAGCCGGAACCCCTGGGCGCCGTAGGGTTGGACGGGCCTGCTGGGCTTTGTGTCGAGCTTCCTGCCGTGGCATTGGGAGGACGCGGGCGCCTGAACATCGAAGGTAGTTTGGATGCCATGGGATAGATTGGTAGATCAACAATAAGCGCTGGGGAGGAATGTGAAAAGCAAAAAGAAACCACTCAGATAACACGTGCTCGTCGAGATAGAATGTAGTCTATACAGATTGGTGTAGCGGGAAAGAGAAGAGCGGATTAATAGTAGTTCACAGAGCAGTGACTGCCCCTCGCTTCCTCGTGCTGTTGGATGGTCTGATATTTGATCTAGTTCTATACTGGACAATGCCTCCGAGTGCACAAATTTAATACCTCGACTAAGCAGCCCGCACGCCATCCTTCAGCCCAAAACCCAGTGTTCGCGTAGCCCAAGGGGGATTTTGGGTGACCTGGATAATTGGAGGCGGTAGCGAAAGGTAACGGTGACAAAATCCCATGAACTTACAATGTGGACTAAGAGAGAGCGAGGTATGAAAGGACACCTTCTCAGAGTGACTATTTGTATTGAAGGATTGCAGGGCTCCTCCTGATTGGTGCCGGCGGGGATAAGGCTCGCCAGGCTTATATGTCGATATCCTTAACCCTTTACTTAGTAATACAATACTCCGTCTTGTCCGTCTCACCTCTGGATAAGTTGTCCGGGGCCTTTTCCTTTTCTTCAGTGGTTGAGCTGATGCTAACTAGCGCCAAGGGAGACCGTGAGTTTCAACCCCCAACTGCGAGGCTTTGACGCCCAGGTAAGGTGCCCCGCTGGAAGGAAGTGGTATCAATAGAGCATGTACACAGAGACTCCAATTGACACTTGTGATGAGGCGTCTTCTGCGGATGGAGTCTCCTGATTCTTGGTCGGATCTTCATTCGGGCGTCCATTTCAGCTGCATGGACACTGGAAATATGGAGTTACAACTTTGCAGGGCCACGATTAATTGACCACTGACAGATTCGCCGTGACTGTCGAATCCCAGAGAGGCATTGCAATAACAGGCATTTCTCTTCTCTGGTTACCCCTTCTCTGCTCGACTGAGCCCATACTCGAGCCAGTTGGGTTGCTGTAATCGTGGGCGAGTTTTCCAACAGAGGCGGCTTAGTCAGAGCGGCTTATCAACAAGCCCTGAAGCCTTTGGCCTGTTCCACTTTCAGTGACAGGAGTCTCGGAGTGGAATGCCTTGCGCGATCACGGCGGAGCTGACGCAAGGCTCATTACAGTAAACCGGGTCTCAAACAACATTGCCGGCGTCTATTCTATTTCTGCAAAGTATAAGCGATGTGGCATGCTGCG